GCAGGAGAAGGAGGAGAAGGATGGAATTGCTGTTTCAAAAGAACTGTCAGAGGTAGTTGGCGGCAGAGAGGGCGAGGGAAAGGCGGGCGGAGGGACGATGGTTAATGCGGTCGGAGAGCTACGGTTGATCCGAAGGTGTCCAATGAGTCAATTCGTGCCCGGAATGTCCGTTGACATCGAGGACACGTGGAAAGCGGTTGTGCGTCGTCGTTGCGAAGTGGACGCGGCTGTGATTTGCGTGCTTTTCGTTTCACTTTGGCGGTGGTGATGCGATTGGCTTCGTTAATAGCAGCGCCTGTCTGCACTGTCCTCCTCCAGGTCGGTCGATCACGGGCGAGGTCTTCCCAGTTAGTCGGATCGATTTGCAGACGCTTCAGGGAGGACTTCAGGGTATCCTTGTATCGAGGAATTTGACCACCCTGGCGGCGAGAACCCGTCGCGACGTCTCCGTAGAAGAGTCGTTTGGGTAGTCGCCCGTCGTCCATGCGCACCACTCCAACTCAGCTGCATTTGTCTCAGCATGGTATATGTGCTGAGGATTTCCGTCTGTTCATGCACATCTGTGTCGGGGATACGATCCTGCCAGTTCAGCCTCAGGATTCGACGAAGACAACTGCGGTGGCAGTGGTTCAGTCAGCGTGTCTGCTTTGTGTATACTGTGCAAGTCTCTGCTCCGTACAGCAGCGTCAGCAGGATACCGGCCTTGTACATCTTCAGCTTCGTGCTCAGTTGCAGAGCATGACGATTCCAAACTATGCTTTGGAGTCGGCCGAAGTCTTGGCTAGCTTTTGAGATCCTGTTGGCGACTTCGTCATCGATTTTGGTGTTGCGGATGAGAGTACTGCCCAGGTACGGGAAGTTATACACCACTTGCATTTGAGTTCCGTTCACGCTGCTTTGCGGCGCATTAGGGGCTGTGGCTGATTTGGGTGGCGGTTGGTGTATCACAACCGTCTTCTGCGTGTTAATGACCAGACCGAAGTTCTCGCAGGCGGCAGAGAAGAGGTCCATGCTCCGTTGCATCGCCTCTTCCGAGGTGGTTTTCAGGGCGCAGTCGTCGGCGAAGAAAAGTTCGTGAGCGATGGGTGTGGATACGCGTGATTGGAAGTGCATCCGTCGTTGATTCAGGAGGTGACCGTCCGTCCTGTAGGCGATGCGGATTCCCTGCCGTTCATCACGGTAGGCGTCCATCAACATGGCAGATAACATAAGACTGAAGAGGGTAGGCGCCAGCACGCATCCCTGCTTTACTCCGATGGTCACTGCGAATGCCTCTGATACAGCTCTGTTGTCCGTGACTCGCGCCATCATGCCGTCCTGCAGCTTACGCACCATCTAAATGAAACGTTCTAGACAGCCCAATTTCTGCATGATCTTTCACAGTCCTTCACGATTCACCGTGTCGAAGGCTTTCGTCAGGTCCACGAAGGAAGAGTACAGGTGGGTCCGCATCTCCTGGCACTTCCCCTGTAGTTGACGGGCGGCGAAGATCATATCTGTGGTCGCGCGATGACGACGGAAGCCGCATTGGCTTTCCGGTAGAAGGCGCTGTTCCAGGTGATTATTGGGGCGGTTGAGAGGGATGCGGGCGAAGATCTTCCCGGCGATGTTCAACAGGAAGATGCCGCGGTGATTGTCGCAGACTTGGCGATTCCCTTTTCGCTTGTAGAGATGCACGATTGTTGCGTCCTTGAAATTTTGCGGGACTTCGCCTTGACGCCACATCTCCTGGAAGAGCGCATTCAGGTGATCTATTAATTGGGGACCATCGTGCTTGTAGATCTCAGCAGGGATCGCGTCCGATCCGGGCGCTTTCCCGCTGGATAGCTGCTGCACGGCCCTGATGGTCTCCTGGAGAGATGGCGGGAGGTCGAGGTCCACGTTGGTCTCCACTTGCGGCAAGCGGGTGATTGCGGCATTGGAGATGGCGGAAGGGCGATTGAGGACGCCTCGGAAGTGCTCGGCCCATCTCTGTAGAATTTGTGTCTTCTCGATCAGAAGGCTACTGCCATCGGCGCTGAGGAGAGGAGCAGTGCCCTTCGTCGGTGGATCGTAGACGGCTGTGATCGTGGAGAAGAAGTTCTTCCATTTGTTGCGGTCCGCGTAGCCTTGGTTCTCCTCAGTTTTGCGAGCAGTCCAGGCGTCCTGCATCTCGGACAGTCGCTGCTGGAGGTGGCGGAGACAGCGGTAGAAAGCAGCTCTGTTCTCGTCAGTGGATGGTCTACGTAGGTTTAGTGTAGGCGGTTCTTCTCGGCGAGCAGATTGCTGATGACGGCGTCGTTTTCGTCGAACCAGTCCTGGTGTTGGCAGGGAGCGCGACCGAGGACGGCGAGCGCCGTCGACTGGACCGTGTCTCGCAGTTGACACCAGCGGTTCTCCACGGAGGCGTTCTCGGCAGCGGCGGCACCGGCGGCGTCAGCAATGGGAAGGTTGTCTGACAGTTGAGCTAGCTCATTGCTGAAATGAAGATGGTGAGCGGGCAAGAACAACAAGGCAACATTCAGCTTACCTGGGGGTCGCTTACCTTTTGGTCTCCTGCGAGGCTGTAGGCGAATATGCATCTTCGAGAGGACGAGGCGATGGTCGGTCCACCAGTCAGCACCCGTGATCGCCTTCGTCACCAGCACGTCCTGCTGGTCTCGCCTTCGGACGAGGACATAGTCCAGCAGGTGCCACTGACGCGACCGAGGATGCTTCTAATTGGCCTACTCTCGCTCCGGCGGACAGAAGAATGTGTTCTGCGCAGGTGCGGAGAAGCAGCAGACCATTGTCGTTTGAACCGCGGAACACTCCTCTCCAGGCAGCATGGTCTGTACCGACGTGGGCGGTGAAGTCACCAAGGACAATTCACTTGTCCACCTTCGACACAGTCGCCAAGTGGGCGTGCAGGTCCTCGTAGACTTTGTCTCTTGCGGCGTCGGGGCTGATCAACGGCAGAGCCGTGAAAAGGGTTGCCCATGTGCCGTTTTGGCGCGGCCGAACTCCACTATGGGACCACGGCTTTTTGTTCGTAGTGGAGAACGACTCGAATTTGCCGTAAGCCGCGGTCTCCGACGGCGTAGGTGGGCGCGTCAAGGCGATGTCGATGCGGAGATCAATCCAGTCACCGGCTGAGCTACGGCGGACCAGACGGATCCCCGTCACGACGGTGCTGACGCAAAGTTCCATCCGGCCAACCATCCAGCGGAGTCCGCAATACCCTGTGCACGCGGCATAACGCGCGCAGCGCCCTCTCCTGGTTTAGCCCGCCGGTCGAAGCGGTTGTGCTGGGTGTGGCCGCTGGGCAGAGCCCAGTTGCGTGGAGCCGCAGGTGAGAGTTGTGTGTAAGCAAATGGACACTAGCGCAGTCTCACCTGCAAGCAAGTGAGCGACCACTACGACCATTACATGAACCCACCGCTGGGCACCCCTACACCCCACACACACACTCACACATATATACATATATAAGGCACTATTACCAGGTTTCTTTCCGTAAAACGTCAGAATATGTATTGCCTCTTCATCGAAGATGGCAGCGTATAACAGGGCAACAAATTTGACAATGGTATTTCCACACATTGAAGACAAGCAATGAATCTGTGCTTTGGTATTTATATATGAGTATTACTGTACCACGCGCCGACTTAGGCAAGGCCAGAATGTGCCTCGGATAGTTGGTTGCGGGTAGCCAGCGTCTTCATCTGCTGCAATATGGCGCCTTCGTTTGCCACCAGGGCGGAGGAGATGCGGCGAGTCTTTGAATGCCTTATCGCGATGGTTCAGTTTTTATATTTTGTCCGGTGCATTGCAGCACCAGTTCCTGCATCGTGCCCATACTCCGACGCAACTGCCCTTCACAGTCCCCTCGGCTACTGTATGACTTTGTACGTGATGACGTCCCAGGGGTTTCATCTAATGCGGCAAGTTGAATGCTTATTCTTGTAGAGAGGAGAAACGTCTCTTGACAGTGTTATGCTCGGGTCGCCGTCGCAGTCAGAAGCCTGGAAGGCAATTCTGTGATGCATTTTTCATACTTAAAAAAGCAGACGATAGCAGCGGCACTTAATTTGATGCCCATATCTTCTAACCATATTTCAGTCTTCCACCTTACGTATTCAACAAATCTCGGTCGATATTCGATTGCCGGTCATGCTAGTCTACAACCCAACAGAGAAGGTGTGAACGATCATAGTCATCACTATGTCAAACTTTCAATGTTTCGCCTTATTTATCGCGATTTATTAAGTAAGGGACTGTTTGGCTGTGGGATTCATGAAAAGTGCCGGCGGAGCGTTGAGATTGTCAGTAAGGTAAATAATTGTTGTCAAAAATGTGAGCAAAGACCAGCGTCGGATGCATTAAGCCGTCAGTCGATGAACTCATCGTGGGTTGCACTAGATTTTAAAAAGCCACTGTTGTCCGTCAGCAGATTGTCAGTGTTCAGTAATTTCAGTAAGGACCGAGCCATCCTGCGTGGGAAAGATGCGTGCTTCTGTACAGTTGGCGTCAATAGGCAGCTGTGAGTCTCAGTCCCAAACATAGCATTGAAAACCTTGACGTTCGAGGATTGAATTAGATAATTGTGATAGTGTTCTAGATTAAAATATTTCACAAAACTAATCATACCTCATTTGACTCGTTCCGTACTTTATTCTGAATACTAATCATTTTGCCGTCACGGCCAACAGAGCCCTCCTAGGGTGTCGTGCCAATGACTGTCTGACCTCCATTAGTACAGTACTTTTATTCTGCTGACGTGCGGTAATGTGTTTCACTTACTTGGACACAGCAACGTCTGAGAGACAAAGGGGGATGTTGTTGTTTTGTTTATTTTGTTTATTTGGTAAGGGGGATAGGCAAGGCCTTTGAAACTCTATTGATTACATACCAGTCCGTTAGATACAACTGTACACCGACAATGAAGGTCATCGCTATTAAAGTGGCACTTGCATGATTTAAGTACCATTGTGTTAAAGGAAAACTTTCCATAGTTCACAAGGAATTCAGTCCAGGTTCAAACTGTCGAGGAAAAACAGGGAACACAGATAATCATCCAAACGTTTCTTGAAGAGCCGCAGGGATCCCGTCTCCACGACCGATTGAGGGAGATCATTCCACTTCCCAACTACCTTTTCTGTAAAAAATTGAGAGCGCAGGTTCAACCTGGACATGGGCGTGCGTAGCTTCGTCGAGTGGCCACGAAGATTTGGCGAGAGGTGCCACTGAAACGTGTCGTCAAAGCCCAGTTCATACTCAAGGCCATGTTCTGTCTTGTAAACCAGGATAAAATCACCTCCTTGCTGCCTGTAACACAGGGGGGATATATTTGGGCAGATCAGTCTTTCCATGTAAGATTGGTTTTTTAAATCCTTTACTGGCTTCGTTGCACAGCGTTGTACTCGTTCAAGGCATGTTTGGTCTTCTGCTAGCCATGGCCGCCACGCTCTTATGCCATATTCTAGATGAGACTGAACAAAGGTGCCGTAAACTCGCCGAAAAAGGTACTTGCCAAAGGTCCCAAACGCCCTTTTTATAGCATAAAGTACTCCCACGGCGTTTTTTGCAGCCTTGGTGCACCGCAGTGCTGATTTCGTGTTGCGCTGGTGAGGAGGGATATGGTTCTATGGTATAACCGGCAGTGTTCTGCCGTAGGTTTCCGTGGAGGTGCATGTGCTCTAATAGGCCCATGCGGTTCAGCGCGCAATCTTTGTTGGTGCCACTTCTCGATGCCGCGACTGATTACAAGCTTCTACTTATTTTGGCGTCCGTCATCCTATATTCGGTCAGAGCCTGGCCCACACTCCGGTATGGACGTAATCCTCAGTTTCCCGAGGCCTCGAATGATGCAGTGGCGGCCACCACACCTACAGACACTGATGCTAATTAAGTAACCCCAAGGCCGCTATGGAAATTTGCTCTGACTTGCCCAAAGACATACACTTATGTGTTCATCAAGTTGCGTCTGCTTTAGCAGCGCATCACGCCCTTGATCATCAACACTTGCTGTCCAGTTTGGTCAGCACCTAAATCTGCTCTACAGTTGAATACTCCATTTCGGACTAGACGGAATTTGGTCAAGACGTAGTGGGGCATACTCACCAACACGTGCACTGCGGTGTTGGATATCCTGACGTGATCAGAACGGCCAACAGCCCAACAACATCATCAAAGAAGGCCACCATCCTGCCTCCACTATCCAGTTTTCTTGGGTCACCCTATGTATCAACGAAAAGGAAGAAGCCTTAGGGAGGTCTCGTTGCAAACAGAGATGGGCAATCAAACAAGGCAACGATTTAGGTCCAGCACCTCAAATCTGGCGCGATCGGTGATGGCCCCTATACCACATATCGCGATCATCATGCCCCAAAGAAGATGAAGAAGGAGAGAGGGCGAGTTCATGGACTAAACTGACTTTGCACTGATGTTTCGGAAACTTCATCGTTTCCGTCGTCAGAGTGGTGCGGTTGGTATTACTACTCGTCTTGAGCTATTGAGTATCGCCTCCCGCCTCATATTATAGCCGTACTCGACACACGTAATTTTTGCTGCTGACCATCTTTGACCTCTCTGAAGTTAATGGTTGGCGGGCTAGCAAGATTCTTGTCTCCTTTGCGTCCGGCGTATTCGTAGCCAAGTCAGTGTGCCTGTTGGGCTCCCTCACGCCAGTCGGAGGACTGACTAGCCATTAGAGTTCGCGCGAGGTGTTTTCCTCCTCGCTGGCGCGTCGGCTATGCAGTGTTCGACACTTGTCACGTGGCCTACGGCCACTCTCAGCCCTCTTTTCAGTGAGCTTTAGCTCCCGGCTCTGCGTGCTCGCCTGCCCCATTGATCTTGTTAGAACTGATCCGAGTCCTGTGTGTAATGCTTGGTAGGCAGTGTACAGTCTATAGCTCGGCTGGGTGTGCCAATGGAAGACAAGCTTTTGCATGCCAGTCTGGTCATATAATTGGCTCGACCGATCACCCTTGATTTCTCAAATGCGAAAATCTGGTCCAGCTTTTGTATGTGGTCTTAGACAGGAGTCGGCTTATCATTGCTGTTGATTGCAAGTTGATGTTCGTGCAGTCTTGTGTCAAGGCGTTTGCATGCTTCATAAAAATCACACCAAAACTTAGGCACAGATTTCTTCCACTGAAAAAGCAATGAAGCGTCTTACAGGAGCGAAGTAAGCGTCGAGAGATACTTAAGAATCCCTGAGACAGTCTGAACAGGCCACTGTCAAGATCTATGGACTGCTCAGAGTCAGTAAACCTGAAGTCCCACTGCGACTGATAGCATGACTAATTGTTTCACGCAATTACGAGATTTCTACGTAGCTATTCCACCGGTTCCACCCAATTCAAGACCTCTATAGACCTCTTAGGAAAATTGAGAGGGACCACAATTCTCGTTAGTGAGATAGTGGTCTCTTTCGATGTCTTTTCCTTTGATGCAGCTCTTATATTCACATTCATACTATCAGATTTAGCAAGGCAATGCACAGACGAACTCCTACTGTCCTATGGTACAAATCTTTATCTAAAAACTAATTTTCGTCCGACTACCGATACTATCAATAACCAAAGAAGCTCCAATGAGATCACCTAGATCTGGCCCTCTTGCCGAGATGACTACGAAGAAACTAGAATCTACGGTTCTTCCATTAGTTATCCCTACATGGTGATTATGACCTGTAGACGACGCATTTACGTTCGTTAAAAGGACTAGCTGGGGACGCTCCACACTATCGTAAACCCAGTCATTCCGGTTCTCATATTTACACTCGAGAAAGAAACGGACAATAAACTCGTATTTCTAGATGTCCTCGTGCAGAGTAAGACTGGTGGAATTTTATGCATCTGTATACCGCAAATAAACTTATGTAGAAGTCATTCTATACTATGAGACCAAAAACCCAATCTTGCACCAGCGGTATGCTGTCAACAGTCTGTTTTATCGAACAGAAACGCATTGTTCTCATGAGGAAAGCTACTGACTCTAACTAAATTACCTGTCTGACTTATTTCCCAAAACGGTAACCCTGGATTATTAGCCGTCATCGGTCGACCATACCCAACCCCAGGTCTGCAATCCACGAGGCTCGAGCCTGAACACTGTTGGTTGGCAGTCCAACACTTTAACCACTAAACTATGGGCTCATTGTGCTGTAGGCGTCGATTGGGTAATTGAAAATAGTAGATGATCACTCGCCTTGCCTC